TGCTGAAAGACCAACGGAGGAGGCTGGCATGAGACCACCACGTGCGGCGGAAAAACCTCCCACAGCGGAGAGGAAAACATTGACCAAGAAGAACAAACCATAGTGAACACATCTGCACCTACAGACACACGCACATATTACTTTGGCATGTAAAACAAACAAACAAAAAAAAAAAAAAATGAAAAGAACATTACCCTTGCATGTAGAAAAAAAAAAAAAAAATGAAAAGAACATTACATTGCATGTAGAACAAAAGAAAATGAAAAGAACATTACATTGCATGTAGAACAAAAGAAGATGAAAAGAACATTACCCTTGCATGTAGAACAAAAGAAGATGAAAAGAACATTACATTGCATGTAGAACAAAAAAAAAAAGATGAAAAGAACATTACATTGCATGAAAAGAATATTACCCTTGCATGTTAGAAAGTAGAATAGAATTGCATGAGACAAATGCATGGTGCATGTTAAATGATGTAATTGGGTTTAGGTGTCATTTACGGGTAAATGACAAATCGGTTAGGGGAGGATTGTGGCACCCTGCATTATTAGAAAAACTAAAAAAAATATTCATAGAAATATGATTTAATTTTTTTTATTCGGTTTATTAACCAGTTGTTAGTTTTTTGGACGAAGAATAATTGAGTTTCGAGAATAATTCTCTAATTGTACTTAGGCGATCCTAAGGGAAGAAAAAAAGAAGGGAAAAAGAAAAAGAAAAGAGGAAAAGAAAGGGAGAGGATGAGTAATGCAAAAGGCGGTCATTAAGCGAAAACAGGTGTCAAGAGGTATCTAGGCCAACGCTACCTGACCAATTTCAAGGACAATGGAAATTGTTATTTGGAAGAATAGAATTAAAGGTAATTAAAAGAAAGAAAGAAAACAGACTTGGTAAAAGTGTATGAACATATGTACGATTGATAAAAATGTCGGTCAAAGCATCTGGCCTACTTTTGTGTAGAAGACTCATTATCAATTTGGAGAAATGGGATTTTTTTAGAACAATGGAAAACAAAATATTAATCGGAGAAGGGTGTCTTTTGGGATGAGAAGGTGACCGCTGGAATTGTGTACAGATTCTGACCTGTTAAAATTAGAACCCCACGATGATGAAGTGAAGACATTTTCAATTCAGATAATTAAGATTTTTTGACTATCAGGTCTGAGCAAAAACAAAGAGGTGAAAACAATTGTTTTTGGCTCACAGAAAGCACCAGCGAGACGAGAAAAATTCTTCCTGAAGTCACATCTAATTAGCGGCGGGCTGTTTTGACAAAAACCAGAAAGGTGAGAAAGGCCGAGATTGTCATTTTTTTCGTATGTGTGAAAAAAGGCCAAATTGGATTTTGTTTTTTTTTAGCAAGGTGTTCTTTCCCAGAACAAAGACGGGATAAGCCACGCCCGATTGGAGACGTCACGAAGCACGGAGACGCCCAACCAGAATCTCATTAGCGAAAGCGGTCACGTGATATGCAAGAAAGAGGAGAAGGGACGCTCGACCAAGACCCATTGGTCGAAAACGGTCACCTGACATACGAGAGACCGAGGAGATGGGTATCGCCTCCCACCAGAGGCACTGTGAGGAAGTAGGGGTGAAAATAAGAGTGATAATGGGAAATCAGAAATAATCGACTTTTGGAATTATCGAGAAAACCCTGACGCGACAGACCCACCCCAGTTTGTTCTTGGCGTCAATAAAAGCAGAACCCCAATCGACAGAAATCAGTTCAGCCCCGGACGACAGAGAGCTCAGATCACCTCAGACGGCAGAGAGAAGAGTTGCAGGACGGAAGAAGAAGAAGTTACTTGCAGTTATGCATAGAAGAAGTTGAAATCAAACCAAGCCCAAGAACAGAAATTCGTCCAAACCAAATCGAAGTGAAGAAATACGTCCAACTCAAGCCGAAGTAAATAAGCTCGTCCAAACTCAAGCCGCAGAGAAGAATCAGCCGTGAACGACTGGTAGAGATTAGCGCCCAGTGTCAAAACTAAACCACACTCTGACATACAAAATTCTAGAGAGTAGGCAACTCGAAGTCTTTAAGTTGTATGATAGAAGCTTGGTGCCACTGTCCACAAAACGGGTCGGGAAGTAAGAACAATTTTTATGTAACGAACATTAGATATAAAATGTTGTTACCCTTTTTTTTTATCAGTAATTTTTGGCCTCGTGAGTTTTTTCTTTTACTTGTGTTTTGCCACCCCCGTCGAACTCAACTTGCATACGGCCCCAATCCCTGTTTGATCCTGTCTGTCTAAGATCTAATCACAACGTGGGTAGGCAGACCGAAGATCAGTACAGTTACCCTAGTAACCAGGTGTTGGAAGCGAGTTGGGAAAGGCGAGGCTGGTAATCATCTAACCAAGGGGTTGGAACGTCACACTTGGAACAGCGAAGAGCGACCAGGAGGAGCGACGTCACAGTTGGCGCCGTGACCAACGGATTCGACCCTGGACCAAGTGGCGTCACAATATGTACGAGTTCCACTTGAGGTCTGTGTTGAGTTTGTCCCAATAAGTGATCAAAGCATGGGGCATCCCCGAGGGAACACCCATTCTTCGTCATTGTTGATAGTTAAGGGTTTGATTGGTGATGATGGAACGTAACTAGTTTGCTTTTTGAGGCATTGAATGTAACCAGCCAGTATTTCCCTGACTGAAATGTTAGAGAAGATATCAGCTGCCAATCTCTAGAGCTTTGGAACTGCACCCATATAACATTGAATGTCTGCACGTCAGGGGAGAGATATTTTGCTAGATCTTGTCATGATCCATAACTTGGATACCTTTACTCAAAAGAAAGTAGTTCCTAGTTAAAAAGCTAACCTGAATGGAGAATCTCTGCAACCTGACTTTTAACCAGACAAAACTTGCTAAACAAAGTCCAAGGTATACTTTCCAACACAAACATATCATGTTGTTATTCTCTTTGGAGAGAAGTAAATGATTTCTAATTTGTGACTGCAAATTTCTCTCCATCTTTGTAAACATTTTGAAGAAGTTTTTAAAATGGTCTTTAAAATCTAGTCATTAACTTCAGCTCTCATCTCATTGCAGTCAATGTATATCTCAACAGTTTCTATTTTCCTTTCATCTTTTTCTACCTGATCAAATTATTACATAGTAGATAGTTATATGTTACTTCCCTAGGAGTCTTAAGTATCAGATCAAAATAATCATTGATAACTAATGGCTAAAAAAATTGCATGTTTATGGTTTTGATCCCCAGCAGCCATGTTTCTGGAACAGATATTGATATAATGAAATGCACAACCTAAGACTGAACTTGTCTCTCTGGCCATGTGTAATATTTAGCTTTTTCAAATTTGTCAGAATGAATGCAAAAGTTTAACAAGGAGTTTTTTTTGTGTGTGTCTCTGGTTGGCAATTTAAGGTAGGGGATATTTTTTCTTGAAATCAATGTGTAAGAACTCTGTGACCTCTTTTCTGCCAATTCTGAACATTCTTTTAAGACTATCAGGCCATTCTATAACTCTGTACATCAAAAAGGAACCCTTATTCTCTAGAGTTATCAAGCTGGTGCCTTGTTTTTAGGAGTCAATATTAACCTGAATATCAGAAAATTGTAAAGTTGGACCCTTTAGAAATTCAGTGATTCAGTAAGCTTATGCTTTATGATTCTTGTTAAGTTTGGATAAGTTACTATTGAAATTTTCAACTTTCTTTCATGAAGTTTATATTTCTGTTAATACAACTAATATTCAAAATGGCTGATATATGCAAATTAGATGATTTTATATTGTTTTTAAAAATACAGGTTATATGCTACAACTTCTGTAGGTAGTTAAAAATATATTAATTGTGCAACAAAAGGCGTTACAAATACTTGTTTACAGTTTGCTGTACAATAAAACCAAGCTGTAATCTCTGCTCACAGATACTGTCTTGCTTCAACTCTTTGTTTAGAATTACTCAGTCTTTTTTGTTTACTACTTTTATTCATTTTTGATTTTACTCCAAATTTTTGAAAAGTTAATCTTTTTATAAAATTTGATTTTTTTTTTTTTTATTAAATAAATGGACAGAATTATATTTTGAAGAAAATAATTATTACCAGCAATACATTTTTGAGGAAAAATTATCAGTAATACAATTTTGAAGGAAAAAAAGTGTAAAAATAGGTTTTAATACCAGCAATAAATTTTTTGAGGAAAAAATATTACCAGCAATACATTTTTGTAAATAATTATTACCAGCAATAAAAGTCTTGTCGGCATTAAATAACCCATTGAAGTTGATATGCAGTAAAAGAAACCAAATGAAGATGAAAAAATACTATTGACAATTTTTGAAAAAAATTTCCTTACTGTTTCTTTTTATCTGTCTATATTTCTGAGATGAGGTATTATGTACACTATTTACATTATTTGGACTATTGTCCTCATCTTTGTCGCCATATTTATTACAACGTTTCAGCCGTTGTACACTCTGGCCTTCTTCAGGTGGTTGGAATGTCAAACTGAAACCTTTATTTTGCTCACTGGGGTAGACTGTTCTAGTTCCACATGCCATGTTTAATGGATGTCAGTTATCAGTTATCTCTTGAAAGTTCTCCACTGCCTTAACTGGGTACTGAACCGTCATTAGATCTAACCAACACTTTTATCCACTGTGCCATGTGTCCTTGAGGACACATGGCATAGTGGCATTAGTTAGATCCAGTGAAAGGACCCAAAAAGTGTGAATTCAATACCCGGGTAAGGCAGTGGAGAACTTTCAGGGGGAAATTAACAGGAGATAACTGACAACTGACATCCATTAAACATGGTATGTGGAACTAGAACAGTCTACCCCAGTGAAAATAAAGGGTTCAGTTCGACATTCCAACCACCTGAAGAAGGTCGGAGCGTACAACGGCTGAAACATTGTAATAAATATGGTGACAAAGATGAGGACAATAGTTCGAATAATGTAAATAATGTTTCTTTTTAATTTTCATGATTTTATTGAGGAATGTTTTTTTTTTTTTTTTTCTAGTTTGTCCAAATAAAGAAGAAACATTACCAGATCTTCAAGAAAGCCTTCAGTAAGTAATATGATCATTTGTCAAATATCCATGGCTGATGTATAGAAATCTACTTATTACATGAAGTAAAAAATAGAAAAAAAAAAATTTAAAAAATAAGCAACGAATATTTGTAAAATTTTCAGGATATTTTTATAAGCAATATATCATGCGAGCTTCAGTTTATAATAACTATCTTTATTTGTTTTAAGAGAGTCAGGCTTTATTATTCAAACAAACTGCAACAGGATTTTTTATTTATAAATAAATGCAAAGAATATGCTAGCAAAACATATTTGATTGGCACAAACACTAATGTACTGGAATACATTATTTTACATGTTAATATGAATTCTTTGACGTTCTATAAGTTTATAGCCATATCACATTGAAACACAAAGTTTAGCCTACATTGAGCCTGGTCAGTACCTAAATGGGTAACCACTTGGGAATACCATATGCTGTAAGCTTGGATGTGCAGGTCGGTAATGGATCACAGCTCGGAATTGGAAATCAGAGATCCAATTCCAGTCTAGTTCATTATATTCACTTACATGCAAATACCCTTGGGAAAGGGGTGAATGCATCTCTTCTCCTGCAAGCTATAAGTTAATTAATAGGAATTGTATCAGTAAATTATTATTATCTCTAAAATAAAATTCTTACAATTGTTACATCTGTATGCAGCCCCAAAACCCATAACTACACAAACTTTACACTTAGCAACCCATCTCTGTTTTCCCATCTGTTTCCATCAAGTCTTATGCAAATAATACCGCTTTTTACTTGTTGCAGTCAAACAAGAGAGATTGCACAATAAAAGATGAACTCCAATCAAGCTCAAAGAGAGAGAAAAAGGAAGAGAGAAAACCCTATTTTATTTCAGAAGAAAGATTGGTGCTAAGATTTTTTTCAACTTTTAACCTCAAAACAACACCTACATCTTTCCATACAGAAATGTATAGCACACATCTTTCCATGCATTCTCTTATCTAAATGTTTTTATGTATTGTCTAGTTATGATTAAATCTTGTTAATTTGTACAGTGGCATTTGTCATTCGTTACTGTTGTCGTTCTGAATTCATGTATTTGACTCTGTGGAGAATCTGTCAACTATATTTAACATATAATTTCCAAAATGTTACTAACAAAGTTTTCTTACTTTGCTCACAAAATTTCTATCTGACTATCATCTTTCTTCTTGCAGAGAGAGATTCAGAATATAAATATTGAAAAATCCATATAAGAAGGTGCTGAAAAGTTTTCAGCCATGTCCACTTTCCCAAAATTTTATTTCAATGAGAATACTGATTTTCGGAAGTGGGTTGGGCTGAGAAATTTTCAGCACCATTTTGTAAATTTTAGCTGAACTAAGTCTCTGGCATCATGGATGGAGAACCAATCATGAAAGGTTCAATCTGTACAGTGAGTGATGAGGGAGTTTGATTTGCAGTGAGCAGTAGTCTGAAAATACCCTCGTAAAACATAGTTTATGGTACAGTCATAGTTGGAAGTTTTATTATTTAGTTAAGGTTTTTATTATTCAGAATAGTTAAGGTTAAAAGTAATGCTTGCATCTTTTTATCTTACTCTGTAATAAATCATTCCATATTAAAATAATGCAAACATCTAATTATTCCTGCTGCCAGTAATAAATGCTTTCATTGCTGGATTTGTAAATTGAAACTTATATGAAACTGTTAATAAAGATTATCTACCATGTATGTATTTTTTTTTTTATCATTTTTCTCCAAGCAAAGTGAAAATGCTATAAACACACAAGGGGCTACTGGCAGTGAAAGAAAAGGAAAAATTTTTTTAGAGGGAACCAGAAACCCAAGTCCTAAATAGGAAACAAGGGATGAACGTCTACTCCTGCTTCAAAGGGGGAGGAGTATAAACCAGACGATAGATGATTCACACTTCTTCCAGGTCTTTTGAATAGAGGTTTATCCCTTGTTTCCTGTTTAGGACTTTGGTTTTTTGTTCCTTCTAAAGTTTTTTTCTTTTATTCTCTTTCAAGCACATTGTATCTTAATGGTATTATTATTACCTTGCTTGGGATATCAAAGTTGATGTTTGTTTTCATTAGAATTTTTTAAATGAGTAATCATCATAATCATATGTTTTTCTGTTGAGAACAACGTGCTCAGCTTTGTTGTTATAAATTTTAGCTGTTGTAATTGGCAGGAGGGTGGGGACTGTTGGTTTGGTTTGATATTCTAAGGTTACTGAGTACAATGGTAGACATCTGAGGAAGGCTGGAGAGTTGAACAGACAAAACATTGTTATTATAACACCTAAAATAAATATGTGGGTCTGAATAGGAAAGCATATAACAGAGAAATATATGTTTGAATTTAAAAATACTCAAATTCATATAAATGCAGAGAAAGGGATGAATTGTGCTTCGACATATGTTTTTAATCTCTCAAGAGTCTTTATTTGTTTTTAATCGCACAAGCCCCCCCCATTTTTAAATCTCTCAGACTCCCCCACACAAATTTTTTTAATCTCTCAGGAGCCCCTCATGTTTTTTAATCGCTCAAGAGCCTGCCATATGTTTTTTATTCTCTAATGATCCACCAATATGTTTTTAATCTCTCAAGAGTGCCCCACCATGTTTTTAATCTCTTAAGAACCCTCTATTTGTTTTTTAAATGCTTTACATATATCTTTTGACAATTCTAGCTCTTCTGAATGTTTTTTGGGTACTGGTGATCAGTTTTTACACTTTTCATTTTAAAGCCTTATAGTCAGCAGCTTATCCACTTCTGGGATTTAATTCAAGAGGCAAGTCACCATCCTCAAAACAATTTTTAGGCAGTACAATTGGAGACTATTTCATTTCTAGTTCTTAGATTCTATAAACAGTTTCTGCAGCATTATGGTCCAAAACCTTCAAACTGATGGAATCTCAAGACTTGTATCTCCCATTATAACAACTTCAAACAAAAAAAAAGAAGTAAATTACAGTTCAATATTACTGATAATGATACTAATAATATGGTTGGATGATACTTAGATGTGTCCATGAAATAATCTTTAGAATTAATGGCTGTATAAAGTGAAAAATACTTCTGATACAACATATATGACTATACTGAGTAATGTCACTGCTATATATATAATATATATATATATATATATATATATTGTGTATATTTAGGCAGCAATTTTTCATTAATGTGTGTTTCATTAAATAATATAGACAAGTTTTGTCTATTTATTTTAAGTTCCTTTCATATTGTCTGATAAGTATAATCACATCATCATTGAAAGACGAAAGAAAAACACCATATTGATACATGTTTAAATCCAATCTAAGCTTTTAACTTACATAAGCCATTATCAAAGATGACAATTTCAATAAATCAAACAACACACAGATGAAACCACAATGATAGTCCGCCCTTGCTGCTTGAAGATTGGATATAAACATGTGTCAATATGGTGATTTCCTTTCGTCTTTCAATGATAATGTGATTAAGCTTATCAGACAATATGAAAGGAACTTACTTAAAATAAATAGAAAAAACTTGTCTATATTATTTAATGAAACATGCATATATATATATATATATATATACACACACACACAAGTATAGGATTGGTCTATACGGAATAAATTCCAATAACCAACAATTACTATTCTTAAGAGTTCTCAATACAGAGTAGAGCAAATATAATTATTTATTTAAAAATTATAACATAACTATGTCATGAAAAAATAATTATATATGAGGACTGATCAAAAAATATTGAGACTGGTGTTATAAAAAGGAAACTACAATTCAACATTTAATCTTTTTTTCATTGGAGGAAGCATTCCTGGAACTCCTTTTCTTAGGATAGCAAGCAGCTGCCTCATGACATTTTCTTGGTTTCTTGACGTCTTGAAATCTTGTTCCTTTCAAGTGGGATTTGATTTTGAAAGAGGAAAAGTAACAAGGGACAAGAGAGTTGGAGGGAGAAATAAAAGTGCTCAATGTATAGGCTATAGTTTTCTTCACCCAAACTGCTGCTTTGTGGGTCTAACTGCCAAAAAGATGCTTCTCTGATCACTACAATCTTAACTGGTTCAAGTCTAGAGTTAACTGTTATCTCCACTTCATATTCCCATAAACTGTGCCTCTTAATCTGTACTCCTCTACCTCTAGTGGCTCTTGGGCCTTGTACAAGGTTAACATTATTGTAAAAAGAAAGATATTGCAACTACTTGAAGCATGGAAAGTAAGAAACAAGGAACTGGCTAAATAATAATGTGTATACGTATATGCATACATACACCTCACTTCCACCCACAAGGAGGGAAATATAATGCATGAAAAAAAACAAAATAGCTTAAACATAGAAAAGTATCTCCAAAAGTATAATGATACCCAGAAAAGGTGATGTAGTCTCTGGGATGAGGTTTCTGGTTACATGTAACATTGAGTGGGGGACCAACCCCGGAACAACCAATATAGAGCTGGCCATATTAAAAGCATGGAGTTGAAGTCGGCAGTTTTGAAAGAATATCTTTGTACCCTGTTGACGTTCAGAGCAAAGGTGATTATACCAATTGGAATTGAAGTCTTTTGAAATGAAAAGCAAGTCTGTTGAAATTATGGAAGCCCTAGGAACAACTGTATGGAATGGCTACATTTGGCTAGAAATGGCATGTTTGATGATTTCTGGTGATCTTGAAAGATCTTCAAATCAAGCTCACATAGCCTATGTTTTGAGTGGATATCTTTTAAATCTTTATGCCCAAAATTAGGTCAATAGACTTTGTCCTTTGAGCATGAACATGGGAGCACTGACCGAAACTTCCCGTATTGGTATCACTATGTATGTCTATGCACAAAACATAGTAACAGTACCTTAATATCATTCACTTTCTTTTATTTATATATATATATATATATATATATATATATATATATATATATATATATATATATATATACTGTGTGTAACAGCAAAATTGTCCAATTGTTACATTAAGCTCTGAACCATTATATCTTAGAAATGATTAAAGATATCTTACTGGAGTTCTCCAAGGTTTTTTTTTAAACACTATTTGATTAAACTTTGAGCAATAAAAAAATGTATAATTAACAGAAGTATTATGAAATTAATCATAAGCGGAAATGACATGTTCGTCATTAATTAATCATAGCTAAGGATCAGAAACTCATGAAGTATTGTAATGAAGTTCAAATATATATATATATATATATATATATATATATATATATATATATATATATATATTATTCCAGGATCATTTTCAAACTTATTCAAGATGATCTACACCCCTCTCTAATCTTCTAATTTTCTGTCCTGGAGTAACAAGGTGCCTCACAGGTTTCATGTATGATTTCATTTTCAAGTCTTTTTTCACTGCTCTTTGGACTGTCATAGCTGAAACTCCTCTCTCATGTGCCAAATTGATCTCTTTAGCTCTAAGTTGAAATGATGATCCTGTTGTAACTTTTTGATCTAGTTTTACTGTTTACTTTACTGTTCCCTCTTTTTTAAACTTATTCACCGTTTTCTTGGTGGTTCTTGAATGGACTTTGAAGATGGAAACCAGTGCATGAATCTTGGTACCATTACTAAAGGCCTGAATGATCTTTTTCCTCTCATCATTGCTCAGTTGAGAAGACCATTGGGGCTGACACAAAATAATTTTAACGTGTCCTCTTTCTAACTGAATAACTCAAAGGGTTTTTCATCAATTCTTATGACAAATAGTATCAAACTCGCTAAACATCTTACCTGAAAGCCTGGAAAAAAAAACTTTATTACTTTAGTGGTTTTTAGATATTAAACGTTTTGTGGGATGAACAGTTATGCTGTAACATGATTTTATTTCTGTTTGTAACTTTGCTTTTGCACTCAGTTTATTTTGTCTGAGTCGTTCCAGTCTCCCATAGATTTCAACTGTGTAGTTGTAGCTTCACAAATTCGGCATATCTCAATACATTGTTTGAGAGTTAGTGTTGAAAGTTGTAGCATTCTTTTATGTACCTGGTTGTCTCTTACACCCAACACTATGCAGACGCATAGTAAAGAATCATATAAACATTCACAAAGTTTTCAAGACTTCGCTACGTTATCAATGTTCTAACCTTGTTCCTGGTCTCTTTTGTTGAAGACATCGTTCATGTGTCTCGTTGGTCTCGTTGGTCTGCCTGATAAAATGTTGAACAAACTTGGCTATTACCATTTCCAAATCATTTTTATTTTCTGTTGAAGTGAATTAAAAACCTTTGTAAACTATCAACTCGTCTGATAGTGTGAAGAAATTGTGCCGTTTGGTATTTCTTATTTTGTTCACTTTGCACAGTTTGGTCATGACTCTGTAATTATTCCACGTGAGTCTTTGTGTCCAGCTTGCTCAGTAGCAATATGTTTGACTGGAATCCTTCTGCCATTTTCACACACGTGGTCACTTTTTTTTTTACACCATGTTATCATCACTTCAAATGCTGGACACGACTGAAGCAGCTTATGTGCATCTGCCCTTTTTATTAGCATCATTCTTCATCTGCAGGGTTGTAAAGCATGAATTGCTTCCTTGCTGCCATTATGTCACATGAAGTCATGGAAAATGGAACCGACTCGGGTTTGAGAAAACCAACGCAAAATGTGACCAGCATTTATTAGGTACCAGAAGAAAGGGGTTAGGGAGAAACAGGACATGTCAGGGAGTGAGAATCACATTCCTTAACATTGATTAGGGAGCATACATTAAATGGTAATGCAAAGGGAGTATAAATTAAACAATAATATAATAGGTTTGAAAATATTAGGAAGATGAAGGAGGCTATGACAAGGGACCAGGACATCTTGACTTTCAATGATTTTTAAGGGACCTTCAATAAGTGGTTTGAGGATTACAACAAGTGCATTGAAGTCAGAGAATTCTGTTTTGAAAGCTGGTTAGTGTAAAATGACTTATCAGGGTTGACACGTCATTAAACAAAATCTAGCCAACCGACCTACTTTGAAGTAGATTACAGTTTCGTACTTATTTGAAATTAATAAATGTCTCTCCTGAAAAAGTCTGCAAACTTCTTGAATGCGTCTTATATAGCGGGTGTAACTGAAAAATTGTCTATTTGTTAGATTAAGCTTTGAACTGTTGATTAAAGATACCTTACTGAAATGTTTCGAGGTTTTTATAACACTATTGGACTCTACTTTGAGCAATAAGAATGTATAATTACTCTCCAAGCTTAGAAGAAGAATCGTGATGAAATCAATCATTAACAAAAATGACATGTTCATCATTAATTAATCATAACTAAGGATCAGAAGCTCATAAAGGATTGATATCAAGTTCATATATATATATGTGTGCGTGTGTGTGTGTGTGTGCATGCATGCATATTATTATTATTATAATATATATATATATATATATATATAATTCTACATTCAGTACCATCACTTGATAAGACACCAGCAGTACTGAAACAAAATGGCTATTTTTGTAGTGATTTTATAACGTTATAATTTTCGAATTAATTATATTTGCTCTACTCTATATTGAGTTATCTTTTAAGAATAAAATAATTATACACCAATCCTATATATATATATATATATATATATATATATATATATTCCAGGATCATTTTTCAACTTGGTCAAGATGATCTTCACCCTCTCTAACCTAACTTTCTGTCCTGGAGTAACAAGGTGCCTCACAGCTTTCTCATATGATTTCATTTTCAAGTATTTTTCACTGCTCTTTGGACTGTCATAGCTGAAACTCCTCTCTCACATGCCAAAAGTCTTATGAATTGAGTTGGATCTTTTCTAATTGATCTCTTTAGCTCTAAGTTGAAATGGTGATCCCTCTTCCTGTTGTGACCTCCAGACCCAGTTTTCCTCTCTACTTTTCTCTCTTTTTGTAAACTTAGTCACTGAATGATTATTTCCTTCCATTTCTAATTAGGTACAAATTTTTGAAATGATTTAATATACGAAACATGATCTCATAAAACAACAACCATTATATTTTGATAACTATAATTTTCCTTTGGTATTTTTCTTTTTTCTATACTTCAGAGAATACTATAAGAAATTACGTCCTCGTGCTGAAGAAAATCTACTTTGGACAATTGGTGAGTTGGTAGTGGCTCGGGCACCTGCAGATGAACAGTGGTATCGTGCACGTATCACTGAAGTGAATGACACCTCAAATGCAGTCAAGGTGAGTTTGAAAACTTGTCTTTGACAACAAGTTTTCAGTTTTCAAGTAGTACCGTTTACCAAAGTTTGCGTATTTTTCTAGTGATTTTTTTAATACACTTTGTAATTGTACTCCTTACCATAGATCCATTTTGGTTTTTCAGGTGTTTTTTGTTGATTTTGGTAATGTTCAGTGGATTCCTGAGAAACACATTCAACCTATCCAACCACAGTTTATCCATCTTCCTCATCAAGCAGTTGAATGTTGCCTTGATGGAATTGCTTCAACCTCTACTGATGGTCTGTGGACCCAGGAAGCTAGGTAACATCTTTCTGAAGACATATCTCTTCTGGAAACTTATTTCTTTAAACTCTAGCTTTTGATTTTTCTTAATATGCAGACGAAAACGAAAATGCTTAAATATGTCTTATGATATAGTCTGTAACAAATTTTGGCAAATGGATACTTTTGCAAATTTTGTAATTTCTTAAAAATGCATGATTCTTTTTTGCTTTCTAAATAAAAGAGCGCAGTTTATCCCCACCTTTTGATAAAAATATTTGGAGCTGATTCTTGCTAATATATCAACCTGTTACCGTGGAGTAATGGATGGTGGCTTGGATTGAGGAATTGGAGAGCCAAGTTCCAATTCCAGTTGAATCCATTACATTCACTTACGTGGTAATAACCTTGGGAAAGGTATGAATCCTCTTCTCCCCCCAACTAACAGTCATGTATCAAAAGATACATGATCGCCTAAGCGTGTATCACACATGGCACATAACTGACTGACTGACGTGCTAATACCCTTAGGAAAGGTATGAATCCTCTTCTTCCCTCAGCTATGTGTAAGTAGCAGGACAGACCGGGTTATATAGCCTTAGATGGCAACTGGTCTACTGCAGAAAGAAATGGCAACCTACTGCAGGAAAAAAATCTGCCTCATCAGTCATGTATCAAAGGATACATGATCACCTAAGCATGTATCACACATGGCACATAATTGAACCAAAGTATGTGTCAATAGAAAGGTAAATTATTCATCATTCATCTCCTGAAAACTTTGTTACTTTGAGAGAAAAGTTCATTGATTTGCTAAAATATATTTCTGAAATAGTTTCTCTTTTCAAACTATATTGCATAAGTTGCAGTGTGTAGATTTATAAGCCCAAATTATTAGATATATTTTTAGTACCTATGACAACTAAGAAATTATATCTGAGAAATTATGGCAAATAGGTTTTTATTCCAGAAATAATGTTAATCATTTTCTTGTTGCTTTTTTATCACCAAATGTTCTTGGGTCAAATGCCTTCCAAAATTAGAATACTGAAATAAATCTAGTGTGATTTGAATTTCAAATATTCCAGCTGAGTATATGGTGGTTGAGGTGGGAAGTAATATGTGGGAAGCAAAAACCAAACGATGAAAACATTTTTATCAGCTGATGAGCAGTGGAATCTCAGAAGTGTTTGAGAACTTGTCATTTGAATGTGATCATAGCACAGAGACACAGACAAAAAATTCTAACATTGGTATTAATATGATTGTCTACACATACTCAGAATAATGGCAGTTATACATAGTTTATTTTCTGAAAAATTTATAATATATACAAAATATGAATTGTTACTTTTTAACATCTCTATAATTTTATTTTGTGTTTTTCTTCTCTTGAGACTTTTCTCTTTTTAAAAAATATTTTGCAATTGTCTACTCTGTAGCACAGAAGCATTTTTTTCTTTTTCATTCAGATGTTAATGTTAACTGGTATTTTCATTTCATTGTTGCTTTTTTATTACAATGTCCTCGATTGAAGGCTCTCCAAAGCAGTGAGAATAGTCCAATGTGATTTGAATTCATATCTCATATTTTGGTTGCTTGTGTTAAAAAATTGCAGTTTTTAAATTCTAAGAAATTATTTGATGTCCTTAATCTCTATCAAATTGTCTTCTTTCTCTTGCAGAGATTATTTTCTAGAACTTGTTGATGACGTAGTTCTGGTGGCCCGTGTGAATAGCATGTAAGTATTTCAATATATAAAATATAGGTTTTAAGTATTCATGAATTATTTATCTTCAACCAAACATATTGATATATTCTTTATTTCTTTGAGCTTATTCAATCATTAACTTGAGAATTAAGATTCATCAGAAAATTCAGATAGTAAAAACTGTGAAATTTTCATGGGTATTTTTCATATGATTAAGTTGTCATTGTAAGGGCCATCCTGGGTATGACGATAAATTACATCCGTGTACTGGGTAAGACGATAAACTATGTCCAACAGCAAGGCCTCTGATCAGGAGGCTTTGAGGAGCGTGCAACTACTTAATTGCTGGTGTTCCTAGGTCCACGCTGACCCAGGGTGGTAGCACCTGTTAGGGTCCCAGCATTTTGAAAGTGTAAAAATACGTTTTAATACCAGAAATACTTTGTAAAAAATTATTACCAGGAATAAATTTTTGAGGAAAAAAACTGTTGCCAGCAATACATTTTTGGAAAAAACTATTACCAGCAGTACATTTTTGAAGAGCACTATTGCCAGCAATACGTTTTTGAAAATAGTATAACCAGCTATATAATTTTGAGGAAAAAAATATTTCCAGAAATAGATTTTTGACAAAACAAAAAAATTACCAGGAAAAAATAGTTGTCGGCATTACAAGGGACCAGGACACCATTGAGGTTGATATGTCGTAAAACAAACCAAACCAAATCATTGTAAGGGAGATAACTATACAGTAAAAAGTTACAAAAATACTTGGCAATATTCTATAGTGAAATTTGACTTTACTTTTCCTTAATCTCTTGATTATCATAATTAAAACCTGTTCTTCTGTCTGTCCCGGTGTGTGAAACATGTTTGCTTTCTTTTTTTTTTTTTTTCTGTCTAGAATATCCAAGCGTTTGTATATCGACCTTTACAACACTTCCAAAGAAGAGGACCAAAATATTGCTGAGGAATTAGTGAGAGTTGGTGTTGCCCGTAAGATCAGCCCTAAAGCCAAGCCTTCCAAAAAGAAATCCCCAGTGAAAATCACTGGACAACCTGAAAGCACAAAAAATGTTTTGCTCACCCCTGGATAAATTTGCCTTGCATTTGTATAATTCATAAAAAAAGAATTTCATTTGTCTTTCATGTCATCTGTTTCTAACCGCATAGGTTTTTATCTGGAAGTCTTTGTTATATTAAAAAGCAAACCCTATTTTATTACCAAATCACTGACTTGTGTCTTTTCTTTTTTTTTTTCTATCCACAAGGATCAAAGCAAGAAGTTAATGTTTAGAGTTTACAAGAGAGTGATGTTAACCAAAGAAAAATTGCAGGTTTAAGTTCTAAGAAAATGTTTAACATCTTTAATCTCTCTCTTTCTATCAAACTGTCTTTCTTTTGCAGAGATTATTTACTTGGTTTGGCTCAACAAATCCACAAGCAATACAAAGTTGGTTTCATATATACACGCACATTACACTTATATTAGTAACAGATCCATTGGTATATAATCCAAGTGGATCCTAATAATATAAAATATTAAAAATGATCCACAAATAAATCCAAAATGACCTCATATGGGGAATAGTATATTTCACAATGCATAAATTCTGTATTAGTTTTTTGACAGGTTGATATTTTTAGCTTTCGCAGTTAAATTCTTCTTCCTGACCCCCCCCCCCATTATCTGTATAGACGCGAGTTCAGTCCACACTAGGGTTGATAAGACAGACAACCGATATCTTCATCTGCCGAAGTAGGCTATTCTCCGTATGAAGTAATTTTGGATTTTATATTTATTTTATATATACACACACAGACACAGACACACACACACACACAGACACACACACTACAGTTCAAAAGTTTGATTCCACCCTGATAAATTTTTTAAAGTGGCCCCCAAAAGTAGTTATTTTGTACTTTAGATAAGAGAAAATTATTATACATGGCTAAAATAATTGAGACATGATTTTTATTAGAAATTTTATTATAACGAAAAGAAAAAAGCATTTTATGATTATATTTTACTCTCATCAAAATATCCTCCTTTAGCCTTGATTACTGCAGCATAAATTTTGGGCATTCATATCAAAAGTTTTTCAAAGTATCAGTTCCATTCTTTTTTTCAATGACTCTAAGAACTCTTTTTCATTTTCCTTTTTTTTTTTACTCTTCTGTCAAGTTCATCCTATGGGAATTCTGGGGGTGGCTTCATACTTTTCAAAAGTAGTGTGTGTGTAATAAATAAATAAATATATGTGTGTGTATATATATATATATATATATATATATTTGTCATCTACAGACAGACTGTTTCGCTGTATCACAACTCATCAGTGTGGCTAGATGTCCGCTTGCCTCTAGCTAGGATCAAAACCCGACTGAATTGGCGTCAGTTGGAGATCCTACAACTAAACTGTTGGCGCACGGCAGGGATGAAGGTGAATTTAAGCGTATTTGTGGGTATGTGGCCGAGTGGTTAGAATATTCACATAAACCCAGGTTTGGATCTCACCACTGGTCAATTTGTCAGGAAAGTATGAATTCTTGATGTTATGAGTCTGGAGGAGGAGGAGGAGGAGGAGGTTTCAGTGTCCAACACCTTTGGAAAGATCCTGGAAACCATAACACGGGTGAGTGAAATTGCGTAGACAGATTCATTTGGGAGCTGTTGATGGTTGTGCTAACACAAAGTGAAAAGTCGTCGTGACCAAGGATTTGAGTGTGCTGGACTTGTTCCAACTGTTTGATCATGCTAGGTAACGCACACTGTAACTAAAGTCCACTCAGCGTGGTTGCAGTATAAACTGCAGATGGGCTCTATGCGTGTTGAAAAAATACAAATGTGCCTGAGCACGCATCTGCAACAGGGATTGGCAAGCTGCCATAGTAGATGGGTACAAATGGCCATATATATATATATATATATATATATATATATATGAAGAAAAATATAGGGAAAAAACAAAAATCCTAATATGCAATTATGCTGTTTTAATGTTAATAAAACAGCATAATTGCATATTAGGATTTTTGTTTGTTTTTTTTCCGTATATTTTTCTTCATACTGTCAGATCTATATCCATATATTTGCTCACACACACACACACACACACACACACACACACATATATAATGTCCTTGACTGGTTCTGAAAAGTGAGGAAACTGTTTAGCACCCTACACATGCACACACTCTCTATTTTTCTGACCATTGTTGAAATTTTGTTTTTCACTTCCCTTCTTTATGGTAACTTTATTTTACACACACATACACACACGCTTTATTATTTCTAAGTAAAGTACGCACACGCTTTCTTATTTCTAATAAAGTTACACATGCACACACTTTATTACTTCTAATAAATGTATACACACACATGCACATGCTTTATTATTTCTAATAAATGTACATGCACACGCTTTATTATTTCTAATAAATGTACATATACACGCACACGCTTTATTAATTCTAATGTACTATATATTATTATGCAAACTTTTTATTTAACACACTCACACACACACACACAGTCTTTAATTTTCTGACCGTTGCTGAATTATTTTTTTTCTCTTCACCTCTTTACAATGACTTTATTTTATTATCCTTGCCCCTTTTCACCTTGTTTGTTGGTCGTTAATAAGTTTTTAATTATTTGTCATTTTATATTTGTTACATATATTTTAATATCTGAGCAAGTTTACATCAGTAACGTACACACACAGATCAGGGTGTCCATAAAGTCTGTGTGCAATTTAAAATACTTAAGTAGTTTTAAATTTCACACAGACTTTATGGACACCCTGTATATATGAAAGGCATGGTGTAGTAGTGGATGGCAGCTCGGATTGAGGAATTGGAGAGCCGAGTTCGAATTCCAGTCAAATCCATTATATTACATTCACTTACATGCTAATAATACCTTTGGGAAAGGTATTAGTCCTCTTCTTCTCCCTCCAGCTATAGGTAATTAGCAAGACAGACTGGGTTCTATAGCCTTGGGTGGCAACAGGTCTACCGCAGAAAGAAATGGCAACTGACTGCAAGGCGGTGGGGGTCAGCCTCGTCAGTCATGTATCTTTTGATACATGATCGCCAGGACAGACTGGGTTTTATAGCTTTGGGTGGCAACTGGTCAAAACCTTGTGGACGGTTGTTTGGGGACCTTGTGGCACGTAGTGCACCAGGTCTCTCTATTCAGCCCTTCAAAAAGTGTGGTTGGTTCTGCACAAAGCCTTCACCACTATAATCAAATCATATGTGCTAAGGTCTGGCTGTCGGTTCCTAGGAACTGAGTTACTTGATGCTCATATGTCAAATGCATGGGAGAGTCCACCATATATATATATATATATATATATATATATATATATATATATATATATACACACATATAAATCTACATTCAACATCATCATTGATAAGACACCTGAGGTGTTGAAACAAAATGGCTATTTTTTTAGTGATTTTATAACTTATTTATGTTATAATTTTTACATTAATATTTATATTCGCTCTACTCTGTATTGAGCACTCTTTTAAGAATAGTAATTGTTGGTGATTGGAATTTATTTTGTATACACCAATCATATACGTGTGTGTGTGTGTATATATATATATATATATATATATATATATATATATATATATATATATATATATATATATATATATATATATATATGAGAGAGTGTGAGTGGATAAAGTAGAAAAATAATTTTCTTTCTCCATATCCTCTTCTGTCTTTATCTGGTTTGTCTTGGAATGGCTCTAGCAGCAAACACCACAGAAAGAGGACAGAATAATTGTTTACTATTCATCAATTAAAAACATGAAGCAAATTTTGACAACATAAATTTCTATTTCTCCTGCTGTTCTAGTTCCACATGCCATATCTAATGGATGTCAGGTATCAGTTATCTCTTGTTAATTTCCTTCTGAAAGTTCTCCACTGCCTTAACCACTGTGGATAAAGGCGTTGGTTAGATCCAGTGACAGGACCCAAGGAGTGCGAGTTCAATACCCGGTTAAGGCAGTGGAGAACTTTCAGAAGGAAATTAACAAGAGATAACTGATAACTGACATCCATTATACATAGCACGTGGAACTAGAACAGTCTACCCCAGTGAGTGAAATAAAGGGCTCAGTTCGACATTCCAACCACCTGAAAAAGGCCGGAGTGTACAACGGCTGAAACGTTGTCATAAATATGGCGACAAAGATGAGGACAATAGTCCGAATGATGTAAATAGTGTACATAATACCTTATCTCAGAAATAAAGACTTATCCAGTTTCCTTACATACTTTGAACGTAAATCTATGTTAGCTGACAAAATTCCAATATTACACTGCAGATCTGGAAGTAACAAGACTGAATTTATCAGAATTTTCGAGCACTGAACTTCTTTCCAAAATTCTCTAAGTATATAAACTTGAAAAGTAAGTATAATCTAATAATGAAAACAGTGCTAAGGTAAATAAACATATCTTAAAGAAAAGGTGATATAATTTACATTTAATGATTCAAAAACAAACATTAGGCTTGGATTATTAGTCCAGGCTCTGTAATTGGGCCTAGAGAAATTTATTGTGCTATATCCAGTCGGCACAAACTACCCAATGGGGGGGGGGTCATAACTGGCTGGTTACATTCAATATCTCTAAGAACAAGCTAGTTATATTCCATCATCGCTGATCTGACCTCAAACTGCCACCTATCAGGATATATACGATCCATTGCTAAGGATGGAGATAAAATGGTCGACTCTCTGTACCATTCCAGTAAGTACCTTACTCCTGCTATCCCCTACCTTTACAAGAGCCAGATCAGGCCGAAAATGGACTACTGTTGTCATGTTTGGGTGAGAGTTGCCCACATATCACTCTCTAGCAATCATATAGTCCAAAAGTGTCTCCAAGCCCTTGTGGGTGACAAATTATTCCTCACCCTCTCTCTCATACAGGTAGGATGTGGCAAACTTCACACAGCTCTACCACTACTTTCATGGAAAGTGCTTGGACGAACTATATCCCCTGGTCAAACTTTCATGGCAAGAACGTGTCATGCCGCTTACATAGTAGTGAATCATC